TATACTGTAAGTGGGTCATCGGGGAATATTCAAGATGACCGCCTTCTTATAGTAAATATTAATATTCAATATCATTCATATGACAGCTGACTGTGAATTGGTAATAGCAATGGTCGTGTTCTTACTACATACACACAGTACACACGGGAACAGCATATGAAAAATTGATGAGTTACAAGACGTGATTTAAAGACGAATTCAAAAAACCAAACACGCTAGAGAATAATTTCCTGACTCGTTCCCAAGAATAAGAATACCCCGGGGTATACGTAACTGCCGGGATAATTGTTTAACGACTAGGTAAACTTATTCATGTACTTTGGTCTTGACACTTTTTGGTGCCATTGCAATTGATTCTTTGCCGGGGATACAGTCTGCTTCGCCTTTTTTCTTAGCCACTGCCATAAACAACCTAGTTACCAAACTCCCATCACCATACGTCTTAGAGCACCAGTGGTAAATCTTCCACGGAATAATTTTATTTTAAATTTAAATAATTTTATTTCAAGCCAAGTGCGTTTTTGCGGTATTCGAAGCAAAGACAGAGACCCCCTGTATTATGACGTCACATACTGTAATTTACCAAACAAAAACATCCGGAACCCAAATGGCCAAGTTTACTCGCAGTGCTACTAAAAAAACCAAGACGATCCCGCGATGTCCAAATACCGCGAACGAGGACGCCGTTTGAACGTGCTTCCGTGTGTTACATCGAGCATAAGTTCTGGTTAAAGGCTTGTTAAACACTTTGTTCGAAAAATGTCCCTCAAACAAGGAAATGAATAGATGGACGCACTCTTATTCCACCATTTCGTTTCACGCGAAACCGACTCTAACGTTGATACCCTGGAAAAGCTTATTATATATTTCAGTCAAATATGCAAATATGCTGCTCTTGCGACTTTGTACGTTACGTAGATATAAATATATACTATTCATAATAGCGGCCTATACATTCCGTTAACTTAGGTATGGATGTTTTTTCTTGCACTACAAACTAAAAAAAACACGTCTCGTGAACTCCCTATATACGGCATTGTGATAACTTGGAAAGCAGGGTTAGTGTATATACGCACAGAGCAAATGCGTCCAAGTATGGGTTAGATGATAAGCATCCCCTGGATAAGCATCGTATTTCAGGAATTGACAGTCTACAAAACTGATGCAGTCGATTCAACCACGAACAAACCTTTGCCAAATTGTGTTTACTGCACACGTGTAATGCACTCACCAAAAGACGACCAAACCGTTGTTAGTTTTAACAAAGACGATTCAACACAAAGCCACTCTGAAAACACTATTATACTCATTTTTAGATGTTTTTTTTTTTGAAATGTTTTCACAATATTTAGATTCCTACCAACAATAATGAGATTTCCATCCCGTGTCACCGAGCAAAATTTTGATTTATGAAGAAATAACCCCACTATAGAAACCAATATGAATACGCCAATTCTGACCATTGTCCTTGACGTATGGAACTCCTGTATCTGACACATTTTTTTTAATTTTCGATTTTCGTTATTCTGATATTACGAACTCACAATGAAGTATGGCGAACATGACACATAATCTTAAATAATAATACTCTATTCAATGAAGGTCACTATCTTGAAACATATCTCTGTGAAAAGAGGGGGAATATAGTGGCACTTGTAGTGAATATGGGCACCACGTGACAATACTACATGAAACGGCCACTAAACAAGTTAACATAGGCGCAAATCACGAACAATTGTAGTAAATAGATAAATAATAAAACAATTAAATTTCATTCCCGTTAAATCTAGATTAATGAATGTAAGGTCGAGCGCGACACCAACAGATAGATAGGTGTTGACAAGGAAAGTGTTGAAGGCAACCATGCAAGGCGTGAATTTTGCTAACATCACTTACCGGTAGTATGTTTAACAAACCACCGCCTAGTCACAATAATATGTTTGATGACTGTATCAATGTGTGTAGACATGAAATGCATTCTATAAACAATTGTATACGTATTTGTATGAAAATAATAAAACAGAGACATAGTGGTTGTATTGAGTATCCGTGAGCTTTGTATGAAAATAATAAAACAGAGACATAGTGGTTGTATTGAGTATCCGTGAGCTTTGTATGAAAATAATAAAACAGAGACATTGTGGTTGTATCGAGTATCCTTAGCTTTGTATGAAAATAATAAAACAGAGACATAGTGGTTGTATTGAGTATCCATGAGCATAGCAACTCACAATCAATACCGAAGTAATAACATAAACTCAAGTAAATGTTAGGTATTGCATTAAAGCCTTCCCATAATACACCGGGCTTCACACGACAACTTTATGTCATCAGTAATCACAATACAATACACAAACCATGTGTCAAAGAATCGACAAAGGCGCCCTCAGTGTCATTTAAATTCATAATTTTTAGGATTTGGGATAGATTTTTCAAATTGCAGAACTCAGCAGCCAATCAAAAACGTTGTTATAAATGGGTAAGCAAATGTATATATTTACAAATAATAATGTATTGCATACTTCCCATCCAGATGGAATCAGCAAACAGCTACGAAGTACCAGTAAGCATATATTTGAAGCTTATGAATTGGTTTGTAGATTAGATAATATTTTCTCTCACTTGCAAAACAAGGCAGATATTTACGACCTATCTTCACCACCACACCCAAAGTATATCATATTATCAGCCGATAAACTAACTAAGTATTATACAAGTTATATAATTATACTTTTGTTTCTACATAGTCAAACAGATGTACAATAAAGTGCAGGTGAATATTGCATTTAAAAAAATGTTACTACAAGGCTGTATGAATTGCTGACATTTGTGTCACACTTACAAACCCACGTGTTCCCTTGACAATCTATGCAGTGAACTGAATCAACAGTTGAATGGTACACAAAGTAATTCGGTCTTATATTATTTGATTTAAGGATATGTAGAGTAGAATATGTCCAATCACTGCATCTGTTTCAATGGGATAGTACTTTCCTAGTTTGGTTTATTTGTTTTGCGCAATCTTGATGGAATATAAACCATTTCTTTCCAGGTTTATCAGCCAAATAGTCAACTTACTGGTATTGGACTAAAATATGTATTAGAAGCCACATCCCTAATAGAAGTCACACTTTAGACTGGCGCAGTCGAGGCGATTAATTTGTTTTTGTAGTTTAAATAAAATAAAATAAATCCAAAAACATATTAATCGCCCTGACTGCATCAGTCTAGTCCCACCTATTCATTTTGAACTATTGAGAACCAAAAATCCACCATTTCTCAAGTGTATTACTATTTTAATAGAAGCTGCAGCTTCTAATACAGATTTGACATTAGTATTGTCTGTGTTATTGGATATAGTGTACTGCCACGGTTTGAAAAGATAATTGAAACATATGACGGATATTTATCATAGGAGGAATTGCTTGATCATGAGTTGTATCGATGGAAGAGGGACTTGCAGCAAAATTTCAGTTGGAAATATATAAATCATAAAATTGATATTTTTAGGGTCAGTATATCTGACAGATTGTGTTTTCTGGGGTCTCCACTCAACCATGCACCAGGGATCACCAATCGAAAGTGAAACTATGTTAGTGCAACAAATAAAAACTCAACAAATAAATATCTCAAATTTTATTTATAAAAAAATCCTTTTCTTCTTGTCTGTTCTTGTAATTTGAGTTATCAACGTGAAGCTGACTTGAAAAATTAACGAGCACTGATGTCAGGCAGGAGGATTCTCTGAAATAAGCTGCCCTCCAATGGGCTGGAATACAATTTTATAAACCAATTTCTATTGGTTATTTTTATTCAAAACAGTTCAAATATGGATTAAGAAAGACACGCCTCCATGTAAACATGTGAAATGATGGTACGTCTTGTTTCTAATGAATCTGTTATTATATTCATGTGAGGACGATACAAAATACATGAAATTTGTACTCCTACAAGCATGATGACAACATTACATTTTATTTAGCAATGTATTTTTCTTTGTTTATTTTGAAAGACAATTTCTATTGTCAACATGTCCCAATCAAAAATTTTGAAAGTATAATAGTACAATAGATTTTGTCTATGAAAGGTGACACCGGTTGACTTTGGTGTTCAATATTAGAATTGTTTATGTAGTTCCAACGATGTCCGTAAGCTGGAGTTCACAGACTGTTGTCAGGCCAAATTGTAAGCTGTATCTCTCATAATACATTACAGTAATTCCCATAAGCCAGCTTTTCAGAATCCATGTACAATGGATAAATATACGCTGTGATAATGTAATTGTTCAGAACACAGAGCGTCTATTGACGGAACATGACAAAGCCACCAGAAAAACCAAGACACTTCTTGAATGTTTTACAATTTTAACATCAGATACGTGACGGAAAGTGTAGAATGCTGGTAGATGATTAACAGTGATTATTATTCCATCAACGTCTTCTGTCCTAAACACCACTGAATAGTAGCACTAAAATGCCAATCACATACCGATGATGTCATCCTTCTCACCGTCCTGCTCTTCAAGTTTTTTTATTTCATCTCTAAATTTGTGTATGGCTTCCTTGCTCTGTTTTAGTCTTTCATTCAATTCAGAGATTTCAAAGCGTATTTTTTTCTTGGCTGAAATTATGGAGTTGAGCGTTTTTCTTTCCACTTCCTCAACTGAAAAAAAGTAAATTCATCTATCAGTGCAAAATAAGCTGGAATTCCTTCACGAAATGCTTCATTATTTAATATGATTAGTCTCATGCAAAAAAAAAAAATACAAAATATGATAACTGCAAAATTGCAAAATAAATCACGATACTTACAATCTGTTTCATGTCTCTGTGATCCCAGCGTGAGTTGCCTCGTATTTGTCAGCAATTGCTGCATCATTTGTGTTGGATCTTGAAATATCTGTAAAAAGCAATAAACGCATCACATTGGGTACCTCCTACAAAATACGCTATTATTCCTATTGAATTCATTTGACAGATAATGAGAAGAGGGGACAATGTTGTAAACTGAGAACAGACTTCTCAAGGTAGAGTGAACCAAGTGAATATTGGTCACCAAATCCGGGAGGAGAATAACGCACTGGAGAGGAGCACTTGTAGCCAAGGTGTTTATTGCTCAACTGTTAGGCCTGAAACTGAACCTAAGTACTCACGAGATGCTCCATACAATGTATCAGTATCATTATGCAAATAACTAAAACTAAACGTCATAATGTCAAATCACCACAAGTGTTTTAACAGCCACTTCTATAGAACAGTCACCTGAGTGTAAAACTTTATTGAACAGTTCCAACCCAATTTGTATGTACAAGACCCTGTATAAAGAGTGACCATGTGTCTAACATGAACAGAAGCCAGCATAAGTAGTAAAGTGAACTGCACCAACTGACTTCCCAGATACAGTAATGCAAACAGTCTTGACGAGTACTTTTTAAAAACATTTGCATAAGGTGATAATAGTTACAAAAGAGATTCTACAAAAAAATAGAAATACATGCAAGCAATTTTTTAACTTTTGTGAAGAAAACATATTTAGCTGTATTAAGTTTGTACATGGTCAGTTAATGGGTGGTCGGTGATTGTCACACCATGCATGTTGTGTGTGAGATTTGTATTGATTTACCCACAATCCAATGCACTCTTGAAATCGTAAACATAAATTGGCATGGACGCGATGTGTACTAATTACCAAGTTTCACTTTTTTTGTAAATTTTTGTGGACCAATATATCGTTGCCCTTTAAAAAGTTATAAAAAAAAAAAAGCCAGAAAAAAATCTTCAAGAATGTCTTCATGAGTATTTTATCGCATACCATAATTCTTAGTGACGTCATTTAAAACACGCACTATTCTAGATCATAGTTTTTTTTTCAAAGCTACGTTCTTGTCAGTTGAAATCAGAACACAAAAGAAAGTGAAAACCAAAGTACTTACAAGTTCATCATACTGTTCTGCTACTAATGTTTTGTTCCCAAGCATTATATTTGTCTCTGATTGAAAAAGTTTTAGTAAATGATAAAGCGTGACCTGCAAATGTAAAAAAAAAAAAAAAAAACGAGTTTACAATAGCATCTGTGCCCTTGCGGTGTGCATCATATGATAGTCCTGGGAAAATGACTGCTGGAAACAGGAGAACCCAAAACCCCAAATATTGTTCACTTCATTTTATCATTGCATTCCTTTTCTCATAATTAGAATAGTGAACACAGAGAATGGATCAGGGCATTATGGAGTAGGGGTTCTCAACTCTTCAATTTTTAATAAACAATACAGCCATTTAGCCTAACAATGAATACAGTGATAATAATTATATGCAAATTCGCTGATGCTCTATGCAATTTTTCTGGAGAAAACACTGAGCACTATTTTCAATCCCAAAAGAGAACTATCTTGGCAAATCAAGAAAATTTTAACACGACTGATTCCAATAACAAAATGGTGAAACCCCCCATTTATTACCTGGCAAGTTGAAATAGATAGTAGATAGTGGGTGTAATTTCACAATAACATTTTATTATTCAAAAAAGATTCAACTTTTTGTAACTTACTGGTCTTTCATTTGGATCATTGAAAAATATCTTGATAACAACTTCAAATTCTCCCCATCCAGTCTCTGTAACTTCATATGGTGGCTTTGTTAGCACTGAAAAATAAACTTACTTCTATGAGCTGTTCTCTGGTGGATTTTTCAGAGATGTTGTGAAATGAAATGACATCATGACTCACCTCTCAAGGGATTTGGATAACTTTCATGCAACTTAAACTGAATCTTTTTAACATATACTGAAATATCCTGAAAAAAATTGATTACAGATTAAAGATTGATTACAACTTTATACATTTCCCTAAAGATTGCTAAATACAGTTTTCCAAATGTGATGCAAGTTTGAAGGGGTATGCAGTCTTTTTTTTCTCATGAAAATACGTTCTGTCGTTCATATTTTAGCATAGGGCAGATCATTTGAACGATCATATCTTTACTCCATGTTTATTTTTTCAAATGTACCGGGTAGTTCCAGACACATTGTGCATTACCTCAAGTTTAAAAAAATCTCAAAGACTTTTTCTAATTGAACGTATCATGCTTTTTTTTCCCCTTTCATAGAGTCCAGTGTATTAATATCCAAATCCATATACAGTAATATCAATTTTTTTTCATATATGACCTTATATAGCAATTAGCAATCTATTCTCAAAGTATATAAAAATTCCAAAGACTTTTGTGAAGCTGTATTAAGCCACTATTATGCACAATGCAGTATTAGTTTGAATCTAATTTTGGTTCAGATTTAGTCAGGTGAATTTTTCTACAGAATATTCCATTGTTATTTTAGAGTGGTAGTGGTAACGGAAACTAGCAATTTTTTATAGGTAAACTGAATACGTCATGAAATATTTACCGCTTTTTTACTTTTATTAACAGGTCATTGTCGAAGTGTAGTTTACGCACGGTTACATTTTTTATGTAATTTAACTATAGCACAGGTCACGATGAGCAGTTGTCTGGTTGCCCCGGACAATCATTTTGTTGTTGTCATGAGACCAACAAACATAGTTGTCCATTGGGACAACCATGAAAATAAATGCAGAAATCACCTTATTAGTTCAACGTACTGTAAAATGACTAATTTTCACTGTAAACTCAAAAAATAAATTTAAAATTTTTTTTGAGCAGAAACTCTTTCAGCTCCATGCTTTGACTTTCATGTTTATTTTGTACAAGGTGATAAAACTTGACTTTGGTGTTCAACCTTTATTGAACTACAAATTTATTGGAAAACTACTTTCTGTGGCTGGCCATATATGCTACTCAACTGGAGAAAACAGTTTTGTTTCATTATATATTTACCTCATTCCTGAATGGTTTGAGATAGACTGTCCACTGGTGGGTGTGGCCATCTTCTTCTCGTTTTTTTCCAAAATACCTTGCAAGATTTCCATACACAACTGGTTTGATGATTGATATGCCCTAAAAAAATGAAAGAAATCTTAGAAAGAACTCCTGTAATTTGAGAGTATTGGTGACAGATTAAAAGTGTATTAACCTTAAAAAATGAAGCTTGACAACTAATATTTGTCTGCTATTTGAGATGCACAATGTGATTCACATTATTGAAGTTTATAATACTTACATATGAGGTTTTCAGTCTAATTTATTCTAGACCTCAAGGTCAATTTAAATCTGATTTTTTGAGATACCATTTTTTGAGAAGTCAGCATGCATGTACCAAGTTTCATTGAAATGTGATGATTAGTATTAATTATGCAAATTAGATTATTAATATGCACGGATATTAACCCAGGTTTCATTGTAAGGTGATGATTAGTACTTGAGATAATGTATCAGTGAAGAAAATGAATACATGGCAGTACTATGGCCAAAGATTGAATTAAACCTGCATGGGTAATGAACAATATATGGCTTCTATAACCAATGAAAATATTCTCTTTGGATTCAAATAATTACATGCATGTCACGTAACTAAAGTTAGTTACTTTG